AGAAAGCCAGGGATAATTTTAATTAGTGCCAAATGTGGTGCTGTTTCTAATGTGCTTTTTTTCCACTGATAATTGGAATGAAACAAAATTAATTTCCCTTAGGTCACCAAATACCCATAAAATAATGATTTTCAGATACTATGACTTGGTCAAATTGCTAACATGCTCACATTTCACCCTTAAGTGAAATCATCACTAGACAAATCCATACTTTCCTGTCTCTCTTCCTTCCAGCTCCTGGTTGGGCAGAACCGAAAAAAGCCAAAATACAACAAAACATACAAGAATTTGGACAACATTTTGTATGACAAGACAGCAAAGAAAACAACAATTAGCTTGTACTTACTTTACACCTGCTGATAAGCTTACAACAGGGAAGAAAAACCCCTCTGTACTGAAGTTCTCAAACATTCCTTGTACAGGCTGTCCATTAATGCGAAATGAAATGCTGGGTACACCTAAATCCAAGCAGCAGCTAACCACATCATCAGATGCTAATAAATGCTGATTGACAGACGCTACAGCTCTGGGTACTCGACCTAGGATAAGAGTAGAGTATTCAGTAATCAGAAGCTTTAGGCAGACTCTCATGGGTTTAACAATGAAAATATTTCTTCAAAAACACCATCAAATTTTTTGTTCATTGTCATGAAGACACAATCTTGCCTTCATCTGTTTTATGAACAGTTCTGCTTTTAGACACAGATAGTGAGTCAACATTCTTCAAACCGATATGTGGCAGAAAAGTGTATAAACTGAGCAAATCACTTGAGACCTCCAACGCTGTTCACAAGACAGAACATGCTCAGCTGAAATCATGCAAGTTCACACTGTAGCCTGATGCAACAGTACTGAATTATGCCCTCTTAAAAAGCTTTCATATCCTTTTTTTCCTTCCCATTTAGCTCTTTGTGAAATACCAGATTCATATATCTGTGAATATTTGGTGGTGAGACACTGGAACAGATTCCCCAGAGAAGCTGCAGATGCCCTGTCCTTAGAAGCATTCAAGGGCAGGTTGTATGAGGCTTTGAGCAACCTGGTGTAGTGAAAGATGTCCTTGCCTATGGCATGAGCATTACACAGAATCACAGAAGGTTAGAGATTGGA